TTGGGAGGGGGGAGGGCCGCCAAGGTGGTGCTGAAGGGACAGCACTTTTCACTGGGCCGAGAGCCCGAGTTCTCCACACTCCTGCTCAGGACCAGGCGGGCGCGTTTGGAAGATTCCTCAGCACGGGATGGTCTCAGGGACCACCGTGGGGGCCGGTGTGTGTGTGTGTGTGTGTGTGTGTGTGTGTGTGTGAATAACTAGGGGGAACCCCGTGCACAGTGTCCGGGACAGAAGGTGATCAGGTCCGAGATCTGGCCCCTCCAGGGTCTTTCTCAAGGCACCTGGGAAATGAGGGGGGTGTGCTTGAGGAGAGGGGAGGAAACTTGGGGGTGTGAGGGAGAAAGTCTGGTGGCAGAAATCCTGCATCCAAGGTGAAGGGGTCAGGGACAAATTTTGGAGGTGACTTGGTCTCCATATGGTACCTGGAACACCAGGTGTCAAGGTAAGGGAGAGAGGTCAGGGGGTTGGGACTCAGAAGAGGATCTATCTAATCGGGCCCCTTTTCCAGGACTGGGTGTTCCTGACAAGATTTTGCTTCCTCTCGGATTATGGCCGACTGGACTTTCGTTTCCATTACCCCGAAGTGAGTCTCCCCCAGCCACCCTACATGCTGAGGCTAAATGTGCCCTTGGCCTCTCAGGGCGAGGGCTACCCCAGCCCCCAAGCCCCATGCCTGAAATCTCTGGCTTTACAGGCTAAGTGCTGTCAGAACATCCTCCTGTATTTTGACGACCCATCCCAGTGGCCAGCGGTGTATAAAGCAGGGGACAAGGTGAGGACTGTGAGGAGGGTGGGGAGGGCAGGAGGTCATGGCTGGCCAGGAAATAACCCTGTCCCTGCCTCCCCAGGACTGCCTGGCCAAGGAGTCTGTGATCAGGCCAGAAAACAACCAGGTCATCAACCTCACCACCCAGTACGCCTGGTCGGGCTGTCAGGTGGGGGCCCAGCCTGCGGAACAGGCAGATGCGGAAGGTCAAAGGCCTGAGAGGCAGCAATGGCAGGCTTCAGCTTTCCCGCTCCCCCTCAGGTAGTATCAGAAGAGGGGACCCGTTATCTGAGCTGTTCCAGTGGCCGCAGCTTCCGCTCGGTTCGTGAAAGGTGGTGGTACATTGCACTCAGCAAGTGTGGGGTAAGAGCCTGGGGTGGCCTCCTGGGCCTTCTTCTCTTTGCCTTCCTGCTGGCCCCCTCCCTTCCCTTCCCAGGGGCCCCCCTTAGGCCTCCCCACTCCCCGCAGGGAGATGGCCTGCAGCTGGAGTACGAGATGGTCCTCACCAACGGCAAGTCCTTTTGGACCCGGCACTTCTCAGCTGATGAGTTTGGTGAGCACATGGGGACCCAGAAGCCAGGGTCTTTGTGGAAGCCTTGAGGTGCATGTCTGCTGAGGGGTACGCAGCCCGAATTAACAGTCCTCTTCCACCAAATCTGCAGGGATTCTGGAGACAGACATGACTTTCCTTCTCATCTTCATCCTCATCTTCTTCCTCTCCTGTTACTTTGGATGTGAGTCCAGTACATGGCAGGGAAAGGGTGTTAGGAGGTACGGGGAGCAGGGTTGGGGAGATGAGGTGTTCTCCCTTCCTGTCCAAGAACAACCTTTCTCGATCCCTCTTCTCAGATTTGCTGAAAGGCCGTCAGTTGCTCCATACAACTTATAAAATGTTCATGGCAGCGGCAGGAGTGGAAGGTGAGGCTTAGGGTATCCCATCTTTGGGGTTCTGTGGGAGGAAGGGCTGGGAGCCTGGACTCCTGGGTCCTGAAGGAGGAAGGACAAGGGGCCTGGGACTCCTGGGAATTTAGGGAAGAGGGGGCTAGGACCAGGATTCTTGGATCTGAGGGAGGAGGGACTGGGGCCTTGACTCCTGGATCTGAAGGAGGAGGAAGCTAGGACTTTGACTCCTGGGTCCTGGGTCAGGAGGCTGGGAACCAGGACCAGAGTCTCCTAGGAGAAGGTCAGTGGGACTAGAGTTCTGATGGGGATGGAGGAAGGGTTCTGGGTGTGGTACCAGGGGGTAGTGATGCACAAAAGCTACCGTCATCTTCTCCCTTTGCCTACCCTCCCTCCAGTCCTGAGCCTCCTGTTTTTCTGCATCTACTGGGGCCAGTATGCCACCGACGGCATTGGCAACGAAAGTCTGAAGATCTTGGGTGAGGACGAAGCGGGGGCGGGGTGGGGGGGTGGCTGGAGCCTCAGCTGGGGCTTCCTCTCTGAGCCCCTCTCTCCCACCTTCTCCCAGCCAAGCTGCTCTTCTCCTCCAGCTTCCTCATCTTCCTGTTGATGCTCATCCTTCTGGGGAAGGGATTCACGGTGACACGGTGCCCGGGCTGGGGTGGGAGGGAGCGCTCCTGGGGTGGCTGGGCTGGAGAGCAGGGCAGCGGGGCGGGTCTGGGGGGGGTGACCGCGCCCTCCTCCCTGACGGCCCCCCGCCCCCCTGTCTCCCCTCATGGCCTGCCGCCAGGGGCCGCATCAGCCATTCAGGCTCGGTGAAGCTGTCTGTCTACATGACCCTGTACACCCTCACCCATGTGGTGCTGCTCATCTACGAGGCTGAAGTGAGTCCCGCCTGGCCCCAGGCCCCGCCCCTCAAGCACCGCTCCCCGCAGGCCCCGCCCTCCACAAGCCCCGCCCCCAGGGGCCCGCCCTCCTCCATCCGGTAAAGTCTTTGGGCGCTTCCTCGACCTGTTTCACCGCACCGCACTGTTCCGGCTCGTTTTCTTTCCCTCTCAGTGGTTTTCCGCCTTCTCATCTGTCTAAGTGTGTTCTTTTTCTTTTCACCATCTCTGAGTAGCTTTCTTCCTCCTCCCTCAGTCTCTCACTGTCTGTCACATGTATGGGCAATGTCCTAAGAGTTCAGGAGTCACACAGACCTGGATTGCATCCTGGCTGCCCCACTTCCTACCTGCTGCCCCCTTGGGCAATGTCCCCCGCCCCAGCCTGTTTCCTCTTCTGTAAAAGGGGGATAACCAAAAAAAAAAAAAAAAAAATTCACTGCCGTTGAGTGAGATCCAACTCAGCGACCCCTCCTTGGGTTTCTGAGGCAGTATCACTACAGAAGTAGACTGCCCAACCTTCCTTCTGAAGAGTGGCTGGTAGGTTTGAACTGCCAGCCTTCTGGTTAGCAGTCAGATGCCTGTGGCACTATGCCACCCACCATAAGGGCTCCTTTAAACCCTTGTTTGGCTTTGGCCAAAGGGTTCCCCTCAACTTCAGTTTCCTCCTCTCTGAAATGGGGTGATGAGCCCTAGCTTGTAGAGTTGATGCTGATTAAAGAAGCTCACACACGGTAGATGTTTAGGCTGTGTTGGGCACATGCACAGGAGCCCTGGTGGCACAGTGGTTAAGCACTTGGCTGCTAACTGAAAGGTTGGTGGTTTGAACACCCTAACTGCTCTGCCAGAGAGAAATGTGGCAGTCTCCTTCTGTAAAGATGACAGCCTTGGAAACTCTATGGGGTAGTTCTTTTCTGTCCTATTGGGTTGCTAAAAAACTCACTGCTGTAGAGTTGGATGCAACTCATAGTGACCCTTCCTTGGGTTTCCCGAGGCAGTGTCACTACGGAAGTAGATTCCCCAACCTTCCTTCTGAAGAGTGGCTGGTGGGTTTGAACCTCCAGCCTTCTGGTTAGCAGTCAAATGCCTTAGGCACTATGCCACCAGAGCTCCCAATTGGGTTGCTGTGAGTTGGAATCAACTCAATGGCAATGGGTGGGGACATGCAGCTACTAAATTTTCCTCCTATCTTTTTCCTGTGCTCTCTACCTCTGTATGCTTCGGCCTCCATCCTTCTCTCTGGCCATGCCCTTCTCCTGACCCAGTACCTCTGCTCCCTGGGTGCCCAGGGGTGGGATCCGGGTTCCCTCTTTGGAGGGTGGGAGGCCAGGGCTGTGACGACCCCTCTCCCTCGGAACCAGTTTTTCGACCCGGGCCAGGTATTGTACACATATGAGTCACCGGCAGGCTACGGGCTCATCGGGCTGCAAGTGGCAGCCTACGTGTGGTTCTGCTACGCCGTGCTCATCTCCCTGCGCCACTTCCCGGAGAAGCAGCCCTTTTATGTGCCCTTCTTTGCTGCCTACACCCTCTGGTAAGACATGATGGGCCCCCAACCTGTCTCTGCCTCCCAGTCCTCTCCAGAAGGGGCTGTCTCCAACTCACACCCGCTTCAGTGAGGCAGATGGGCTTTTAAGACAGGCAGCTGTGGGCCATTACCAAAGTCGGTCACTTACTTACTTTGTCACTTTGGAAAAACTACTTTCCCGCTTTGTGCCCCTGTTTGCTTCCCCAGAAAATGGGATGGCCAATAGTACCTACTGCAAATGATTATTTTGCGCATACATGGGGCAGTACGTGACAGCCTAGTGTCTGGCACTGAGGAAGTGTTCAACAAAGCTAGTTAGTTAACATTCATCATAACATGGCAGGGAAGCAGGTGGATTTCCCTTCCAGACTGCCTGGGTTCACATCCCAGTTCTAAAGCTCATAAACTGTGTGACCTCGGGCAAGTCATTTGACTTCTCGCTGCCTCAGTTTCCTCACCTGTTTAACGGGGATGGAAATTGCACCTGCCTCATAGAGTTGCTGTGAGAACTGAATGGGTTTATACATGTAAAATGCTTAGAAACAGGGATTTGGGGTGGGGTGCAACCAAGTTAAATTCCACCCCGTCCTTGCCCCACTCTGAGTTGCCCCGGCTAGTGAGATTCCTGTCCCCTTTTGACCTCTGCATTCTGACTCCCCTCTAGTTTGAGACCCACCTGGAGCATGTGTGTGCATGACAGGGGATGGGGGACCATGGGGTGGACGGAGGGCAGGAACCATGTCTCTATTGACCCAATACCCCTCAGGTTTTTTGCGGTTCCCATCATGGCCCTGATCGCCAACTTTGGGATCCCCAAGTGGGCCCGGGAGAAGATTGTCAACGGGATCCAGCTAGGGATCCATTTGTACGCCCATGGCGTGTTCCTGGTGAGGACGGTCAACCATGGGGATGGGAAACCCCCATAGGCAGGGGATGCACGAGGCACTCCTAATCCTCCTGAACCTTCCGGTTGGAGCTCTTGATCCATTTCTCTCACATCATTCCTTTAGTTTTTCATTAGATGCTACTGAGAGCCTGCTGGGTGCCTGCAGGCTATTTATCCCACTCTGTCCCCTGGAGTCCACCCTCTTCCATTCTTCTCTCTCCAACCTATGTCTTGACCTCTTCTCCAAATCTCCCCTCCAACTTTGTCCCCTTCCTCCATTCCCATTCCAGATCCTGTGTCCCCAGCCATTCACATCTGCATCCCCACTGTGTTCCCCAAATCCTTTGGCTTACACCGCCCCCATTCTCCCATCTCTGTGTCCCCCCATCACAGGCCACTGTTTAGGAAGGAGCAACTGGGGTTGGACATGCTTGGGACCAATAGCCCCACTCTTGGGGTTCAAGAAGGGCTAGATCTGAATGGCATTACGTAGACCTGGGAAGATACTAGCACAACCTAGTCTTTACCCCAGACATCGGACTTTTTGGACGACATTCTCACATTCATTCGTTCATTCCTTCATCAACCACTTAATGGAACTGGCATGAATTTGCTCCTGATCTCTTATCTTTGGGAGCTCTGGTGTAGTGCCTAAGGCATTTGACTGATAACCAGGAGGCTGGCTGGTGGGTTCAAACCCACCAACCGCTCCTCAGAAGGAAGGTTGGGCAATCTACTTCCATAGTGATACCACCTCAGAAACCCAAGGAGGGGTCGCTATGAGTCAGATCTGACTCGATGGCAGTGAGTTTTGTTTTTTTTTTCCCCTTATCTAATTGTCCAAACAGCTCCTAGGACAAGTCATTATACACCCACTATACTGTTAGGGGGGAGCTCTGGTAGTGTAGTGCCTAAGGCATCTGACTGCTATCCAGAAGGCTGGCGGTTCAAACCTACTAGCCACTCCTCGGAAGGAAGGCTGGGCCATCTACATCCGTAGTTATACCACCCTGGAAACCCAAGGAAGGGTCGCTATGAGTCGGGACCGACTCGACGGCACATAACAACAACAACAACAACATACAGTTAGGGGAAGCTAACGCCCAGAGATGGAGGTTGCTGGCCAGGGCTCCATGGCCTTTGGTGACAGGGTTGGGATTTTGAGCCCATCCTTCAAGAGCATACCACAAAGATCTCACTTAAGAGAGAGGCAGACAGGGAAACAGGCATTGCCAGGGCCCCAGCTCCTGTTCCCGGGGGTCTGTGACGTGTTCTGTGCAGGCAATGTACTCAGCTGTTGAGGAAGGGGGTCAGGGCCTCCATCTTCCTCCCCTAGAGCCTGATTTAGGTGCACACTTGCTCACCTTCCCTGGGACTGTCGATCTCAAAGCTCTGCAGGAAATCAGGAAGGGACATAAAGAGGAGAAACTCTGAGAACCTGCCACACGTCCCATGTGCCAGGCTGTGCACCAGTGGCCTTCATTTCCACCTTTCCAAGCACGTACAACAATCCCTTTTCCCCAGTGGAACTCAGGGAGTTTAATCAACGCGCCCCAGATGCCGCACTCAGTGAGCTGTGGAGTCAGGAGGTGGGGTGCCGGTTCAGCATGCCAAACGTGCTTCCTGCTACATTTCACCTTCAGCCACCTCCCTTCCTAAAAATGCTCAGATTAACTCAGTACAGCTCCACCCCTGGCACCCCACTGCTCATTGGGGTTATCTCCTTGTTCATGTCTTTAGCACAACCTTGGAGGGGCTGTGCTGGGCTTCTGGGGGCCAGTGATGGAGTCACACACGGTTCCTGCTCTCATGGCCTTCCAGACTAATCCAGGAGATACCCGTACATTCAACTCATATTCCCACCCCCATGGAAGGCTTACTTATGTGTCAGGCACCCTTCTAGAAGGTTCTAGCAAAGGATAGGACAGTCAAGGTTCTACTGCAGGGAGTGAACATTCTAGAATCTATCAGTTGCTGTCCATCTGAACATTCTGTGTTTATGGAAATCCTCTATAATCTGAGCTGATGCAGTAGCTACTCACCACATGTGGCTACTGAGCACTTGAAGTGTGGCTAGTGTGACCGGAAAACTGAAATTTTAGTTAATTTCAATTAAACAGCCACCAGTGGTTAGTGGCTGTCCTATGGGACAGCACAGGGCATTGATGCTTAACCAATCAGTGACAACCCACAGTAATCAGTGCTCTGATGGACCAAGTACAGGCAGAGTAGTAACTGTGATGCCAGGAAAGGTCAGAGCCCAGGGAGGCAGCCCAGGGCACTGTGAGAGCCCAACTCAGACTCACTGTCACCGAGTGGATTCTGACTCATAGCGACTCCCTTTGGGTTTCCGAGGTGGTAAATCTTTCCGGAAGTAGACTGTCCAATCTTCCTTCCACGGAGTGGTTGGTGGGTTTGAACTGCCAACCGGTTAGCAGTCAAATGCCTTAGGCACTACACCACCAGGGCTCCCGGTGAGATAGCAAAGGACGTACCTAATTCATTCTGAAGGATTGTGGGAAGGGGATGTCAAGTGGAGGGGAATCCTTAGGACCCCGCGTTTCTGGGGAAGCCTGGGGTCTGCAGAGTGCTTCTCCAACCTTTGCCCGGCCTCTGGCCCCAGATCATGACACGCCCGTCAGCGGCCAACAAGAACTTCCCGTACCACGTGAGAACATCACAGATCGCTTCAGCCGGTGCCCCAGGCCCAGGAGGGAGCCAGTCCGGGGCCAAGGCCTTCCCGCAGCACGTCTATGGGAACGTGACGTTCATCAGCGACTCGGTGCCCAACTTCACGGAGCTCTTCTCCATCCCCCCGCCCGCCTCCTCCGTAAGCCCCGCGGCCCCGGCGCCCG